CCGTGACACATATAGTCTTGATAAGCACACGCCCCCCCCACACACACACACACATGCACACACACACACACATCATATAGAGTGAAGCAGTCATGTTTTTGTTCTCAACAATTGTGCCAGTACTTGTTTATTTCCCGTTTGCTGCTCCCCATCAAGTTGGGAAATTGTTTTTTTTAGTTTAGAAAATTGTCGTGAAATCCTTTACAAATGTCGACCGCTGTGAAACAAGTAAATGTGAAGCGTGCTGACAAAATGAGTTACTTCTCGGATTCAGGCCTTAAGGAAATAGATACATCACACTTATAGGTGAAGTTTTTACAATATATAGGAAATAGATACATCACACTTATAGGTGAAGTTTTTACAATATATAGGAAATAGATACATCACACTTATAGGTGAAGTTTTTACAATTTATAGGAAATAGATACATCACACTTATAGGTGAAGTTTTTACAATTTATAGGAAATAGATACATCACACTTATAGGTGAAGTTTTTACAATATATAGGAAATAGATACATCACACTTATAGGTGAAGTTTTTACAATTTATAGGAAATAGATACATCACACTTATAGGTGAAGTTTTTACAATTTATAGGAAATAGATACATCACACTTATAGGTGAAGTTTTTACAATATATAGGAAATAGATACATCACACTTATAGGTGAAATTTTTACAATATATAGGAAATAGATACATCACACTTTTAGGTGAAGTTTTTTACAATTTATAAGTTTGAAATATAAGGAGTGTTATACTTAAAGAATATGGCATTTATAGAAAATTTACAAATTTGACCCTATAGTGTCAATTTTTGGTCAATATCTCCATTTGTGGACTGCGAGAAGTAACTCATTTTGTCAGCACGCCTCACAAAAGGACATGAACCCTTTCAAGTGTGGACAACTAGTAGAGTAGCTTGTGGTGTCCGGGGAATTATCATTCCATCATGTTGTGTTGGAAAATGCTTGAGAACAGGCAAACCAGGCCAGCAAAGGCCTTGAACAGTTTCAGAGATTAGATATTAGAAAGGAAGTAGAGCTCATTTGTGGGTGTCAAGGAGTTGAAATATTTGGAAATACACAAAAAAAGGCTGGATAGATGAATGAAATAACGACGCAAATTACCAAGATTAAATCGGCTATGACACCACAAAACGAAAATAAAGGTCGATTTAATTTGGCGTAGACAGTAGGAGGGTTAAGGTGGTATCAACAGTTATAAATGTGAGTCGCTTTGTATGACTTTGACAGCTGTTTCCTTGTCTCTCTCTCTATGTACAACTCTCTCTATGTACAACTCTCTCCATGTACAACATTTCCTTGTCTCTCTCTCTATGTACAACTCTCTCCATGTACAACATTTCCTTGTCTCTCTCTCTATGTACAACATTTCCTTGTCTCTCTCTCTATGTACAACTCTCTCTATGTACAACATTTCCATGTCTCTCTCTCTATGTACAACTCTCTCCATGTACAACATTTCCTTGTCTCTCTCTCTATGTACAACAGTTCCTTGTCTCTCTCTCTCTATGTACATTTCCTTGTCTCTCTCTCTATGTACAACATTTCCTTGTCTCTCTCTCTATGAACATTTCCTTGTCTCTCTCTCTATGTACAACTCTCTCTATGTACAACATTTCCTTGTCTCTCTCTCTCTATGTACAACATTTCCTTGTCTCTCTCTCTATGTACAACTCTCTCTATGTACAACATTTCCTTGTCTCTCTCTCTATGTACAACATTTCCTTGTCTTTCTCTCTATGTACAACATTTCCTTGTCTCTCTCTCTATGTACAACTCTCTCTATGTACATTTCTTTGTCCCTCTCTCTATGTACAACATTTCCTTGTCTCTCTCTCTATGTACAACATTTCTTTGTGCCTCTCTCTATGTACAACATTTCCTTGTCTCTCTCTCTATGTACAACTCTCTCTATGTACAACATTTCCTTGTCTCTCTCTCTATGTACAACATTTCCTTGTCTCTCTCTCTATGTACAACATTTCTTTGTCCCTCTCTCTATGTACAACTCTCTCTATGTACAACATTTCCTTGTCTCTCTCTCTATGTACAACTCTCTCTATGTACAACATTTCCTTGTCTCTCTCTCTATGTACAACATTTCCTTGTCTCTCTCTCTATGTACAACATTTCCTTGTCTCTCTCTCAATGTACAACATTTCCTTGTCTCTCTCTCTCTATGTACAACATTTCTTTGTCTCTCTCTCTATGTACAACATTTCCTTGTCTCTCTCTCTATGTACAGCTCTCTCTATGTACAACATTTCTTTGTCCCTCTCTCTATGTACAACATTTCTTTGTCCCTCTCTCTATGTACAACATTTCTTTGTCTCTCTCTCTCTATGTACAACTCTCTATGTACAACATTTCTTTGTCTCTCTCTCTCTATGTACAACATTTCTTTGTCCCTCTCTCTATGTACAACTCTCTCTATGTACAACATTTCTTTGTCTCTCTCTCTCTCTATGTACAACTCTCTCTATGTACAACATTTCTTTGTCCCTCTCTCTATGTACAACATTTCCTTGTCTCTCTCTCTATGTACAACATTTCCTTGTCTCTCTCTCTATGTACAACATTTCCTTGTCTCTCTCTCTATGTACAACTCTCTCTATGTACAACATTTCTTTGTCTCTCTCTCTATGTACAACATTTCTTTGTCCCTCTCTCTATGTACAACTCTCTCTATGTACAACATTTCTTTGTCCCTCTCTCTATGTACAACACTGACAACTGTTTCCTTGTCTCTCTCTCAGATGGACATTAAGGTGGTGTCCACACAGAACGCCCTGCACTTTTTCAGCAAAGACGAGCTGGATGTGCCTGTCTTGACGGACAAAGACGAATGGGAGGTGAGTGTTGTTGCTATAATTAGATTAGAACACGATGACACGATGCATGGGACACAAAATTAGGTGTAGTAGGAGTTTTGTTTGTTTTAGTAGAGGTTTTACAGCGCTCGCAACTGCATAAGGTCATATGAGCGCCAAGGGCTGGATGTTGATAGAGAAGTCCTTTCGGGAAATCAACCTTACTTTGCTCACCTCTCTAGCTTCAACAGCACAAAGTCTGCTTCAACTATCAAGGCACCCCAGATATAGAAGTTCACAAGAGAGTGACAAACATACAAAAGAAGTAGAGGAAAAATGACAATAGTAAGGATGAGGAAAGAAAAAGCAGCAGTTCCTTGTTGCATTTCAGACACAGTTATGAGCTTGACATTGATGAATCGGCCCATTTACAATTACAATTCTACTGTGCATAAGAACATGGTTAATGTCCCCCCTCTGGGAATGGCCTAAAGACAACTTCAGTCAGTAACCCCGTCCCGAGGGGTAGTGTGGCAAGACTGGGAGGGGCTTAAAGAGTGACGCCAAAGTTGACACTTGTCACTGG